ATAAGTTTCTCGGCATCCAATGCCCCGTGCTTGTTCAGAAGATGACGCCTGACGCTCCCTAGTCGAGAGTATTTCTTCTTGCAGTCACGTACAGGGCAAGGAAATTGCTGGTCCCCATGAACCTCTCTGCAGTGCCTCTTGAAATCTTCCTTGACCCCGAACTTCCTGTCACAGTCGGGACACTTGATGGACTTGTCGTGGTACTTGATATGTGCCCTTTGAACTGGATAAATATGGTCGTCTCAATGCAAGATTGGATCTCGACCTACCTGTATTTCGACTTGCTTTTGAACGTCTTGAGGCACTCACGACATTTAAAATGGCCATGATGGTGAGAAGATGAGGCCTGTTCCGCTGGAAGAGAATTTGAGGCATTGTCGTAAGGATTGGATGAAATTTCTTCGTCGTCTATATAGAAGTTTGGGGTTGAAGGAGAGGCTGGAGTTCTCAAGTCAAAATTGCTTAGGCTAGGGTCTGCTCCATATGGGTCGTTTTCCTGAAAATCCGAGTCGTGATTCGGCGAATATCCAAAGTCGCCAACTGTGTCAGAGGAGTCACTATCAACGTTGTCATATCCACCCGACGAAACCTGCTCATCGAAAGATGGTAGCAGAGTTGAGGCTCGCTGCTCGTTCTGAGTTGTGTTTCGGGGAGAATCAGTTTGATTTGCCCCGTATTGCTCTTGATCGAAGCTTGCAATATCTACGTTGTTGTCAAAGGTGGGCGACAATGTTGAAGGATCGTAGTCATCCGCTGTGTCACAATCGCAGTCTGCATTCAAATAGTCGTGAATACAAAGGGGTGTTTCGCGAGACACGGGTCAGGGAGTTATCAGCTGGTCTCCTGCTTGCAAACAGGAGACCCAGCTCCTAAATGTTGAGTAGATCAAAATGTAAACGGATGCCTATTCACGGCCGAATTGTTGTTAAAAATGTATTGATTAGGAGGATTTGATTGCCGAGAGATAAAACTTCGACCAGAATAAGCTCTCGAGTTTTATATAGCTTGGAATTTAAATAGTCATTCAATGACTCCCAACTTCACAATCCAGGCTGAAATGTACTTTCTTCCCTCCATATGCTTCTGATTTCTTTCCATGTTCGGCCCAATGTTTGCTTATCACGACCCTCCTTTCGAAGAGCTCGCAGCCCGACCGATCCACAATTGAGGCAGGGGCCACAGATTTGACCAACAAAGAATGCAGATGAGGGGCAACAGGGTCACAAAGCCATCCAACCAAATTGACTGTAGCAGAACTCAGGGCCACAAGATAAGCCTATCAACTAATGGAGTAGAGGAAATTCAGAAACCCCAATGAAATGATACCACCTCATTGACTTAGACGGAATGTCACAGCCTCTGATGTTATGACAGGCCAACTGGTATTATGTTGAGGCAACTCTACATACTACCCTCAAATGACTAAAGATATTCCCTTCACACAGCAAGAGGTATAAAAGAACACGAAATCCCCACGTTGACAGTCGAGAAAAGTGACACCGGAAAGCTCTCGTAAAGTTTCATACAGCTAAATCATCAATTTACAGAAAGGCTTGTCAACTCTGCAACCATAATCCAAAGAATGATGAACAAACCTGAAAAAACAACCTTGTTCAACACTGCCCTCTTGCAGAAGATAGACAAACTCCGCGAACTTAATATAGGACAGCATATACCTCTTCCACAGGTGAGAGATTATTCGTAGAGAACTTGATCGGCTTTGACTAATTGGAAAAGCTTGTGGTTGTGGGCGACCAAAGTTCTGGGAAATCTTCGCTTCTAGAGAGCTTAACTAAAATCCCTTTCCCTCGAAATGTAGAACTTTGCACTCGCCATGCAACGCAAATTACATCGCGTCGCGATCAGCAGAGTCGCGTCGAGATTAGGATCATCCCAGGACCACAAGCTTCAGAGGAACACAAGAAGTGCGTTGAGACTTATACCAGTACAATGGCATCCAGCAAAGATCTTCACTCTCAGTTTCTAGACGTGCTAAAAGAAGTCAGTTTTCTGTGTTGAATTAGGGATGTTGAAAAGTTGTTGACAAGATTCGAAGGCAAATACGAAAATGGGAATCCGTACAGATACGTCTTCAAAGATTGGGACCATTTTCAGTGAAGACATACTGAAAATCGAGATATATGGCCCTAATGAAGACTATCTTACCGTCATCGATGTTCCTGGAATATTTCGTAACTCTACGGAAGGAATCACGACTAAGAAGGATATAGCGCTGGTAAATGATCTCGTGAGAAAATACATCAAAGACCGACGCACCATCATTCTGGCTGTTCTCCCCAGTAACGTCGATATTGCAACTCAAGAGATCCTCGCACTTGCCGAGCAGTTCGACCCAGTGGGAGAACGCACCTTAGGCGTGCTTACGAAGCCTGATCTGGTGACCGAGTTCAATGCGAAGAATTCTGTCTGTAACCTGGTCTATGGAAATAGAAAGCCGCTATCACTTGGTTATTACATAGTTCGAAATCGTGGCGCTGATCACAAGCACACCGTCGATCAGGACACCCTGGAGGAAATGTTTCAACAGGAGCCATGGTCTTCTTTGCCTTCCGAAAGAGTCGGCATCCGCGCCTTAAGGAAACAATTGGAAACGTTGCTAACTCAGATCACTCGACGCGAGTTTCCTAACCTCCGCAAAGAAGCGAACGAGAAACTAGCAGAGTGCCAAAGAGATCTTGAGAATCTTGGACCAGCACGGCCAACTGAAAAGGAACAGCGTGGATATCTTAGTGCTATAGCGAGACACTTCCAAGATCTTACAAGAGGAGCGCTTAACGCGCAATATTCTCATCCTCCCGTTTTCAAAAACCACGAAACGCGGTTGATTACTCGCGTGGTCAATCTGAGCGCGGCATTCAGGCATGGCTTTCAAATTTATGGTCAACTCCGCAACTTCAAAAATATTCGATCCGAGCCCACAACGCCAGTTTTGGAACCAGAGTCTGAACTAGAGTGTGTTCCAGGTGAAGTTTGTGCCTGTCCTAGTGTTTCTTCCTCGTCCTCGCTCGATTTTCATAGGTATCTAAGACAGTATCTTCACGAGGATGGTATTATTACCGTTGATGAATACCCGGAGCTCAGCAGCATTATCGCCGAGGATGTCGAAATTGAGGAACCCCAAGATGGCATCATGGAATGGATCCGAGATCTCTATCTCCAATCCAGAGGCATGGATCTCTGTCCCTTCAGCTCAGATTTAATATCTGCTGCATTTGGGGAGCAGTCTCGTCAGTGGGAACCAATGGTCAGAGTATATATGGGTGAAGTCGTACGATTTATCCATCACTTCATGGCCAAGGCTTTGCGTACTGTCTGCGCCGATGGTGATCTAACTAAGGAAATATGGACTGCTATTATCGATCCTGTGCTCCAAAGATACAAGTCGGGGTTAGACCAAGCTATCCTCCTTGTTGATATTGAGCGATATCAGCGTCCATTCACGCTAAATAGTACCTTCAACAACGAAGTGCAAAATGCTCGAGGGATTCGTATGAGGGAAATGTTGCGGCCCAAGGCGTGGAAGAAAACAAAACAGTATCAAGAGGATCAAATGTTGATGTACCTGGACGACGTTCCTAGGGCGGCTGCGGATCAAACGAGTGAGCAATGCTCCGAGGAAGAAATCCACGACAAACTTTGCTCATACTATCACTTGGCTGTGGATCGATTGATGGATAATATATTGCGACAAGCAATTGGTTACAACCTTCTGTTCGGACCAATGAGCCCTTTAAATGTCTTTTCTCAGGAATGGGTGATCGATTTAGATACTGAGGAGCTGGAGCTCATTGCTGGAGAGAAGGAAGCTACAAAGAGACGCCGCCAAAAACTCACGAAGAAGAGGAAAGAGCTGAAAACAGCGCTGGAGATTCTGAAGACATGACTATAATGCATATATGAGTTAAGATATGTTTCGCGCTTAGCTCTTTGATAAACTGCTATTCGCTGAGCTTAGAGTAATAGCCTCGGATTGTTGTCGAACAACCTCCACTCTTTCACGAAACTTTGATATCAATCTATTTATTTTTAACTTCTAATTAAGGGACAAATGATATCATAAGGATAAATCTCTTGACTATGGATGTGTTACATATTAATGTTGTCCCGTAAATGTTTTAATCCGTGTAGGGATGCACCAACAAGTAAACACTCGTCATTGTCTGAATATTAGTCTAATAGCAGAGTGCCACAAAGTTCATCACATTTTGCATTTCAAGTAGCTGACGAGTTTTGTACTTGAAATTATTGCAGAGGAATGGGGTTTTATATCAAGTATGACATACGACCCATTGAGTCGGCAACATCTGGGGTAATTCCAATGCTACACTGTCGATAGACACAATGAACATAGTTATAAGAGTGTCGGCCCGTTCCCTTCATCTTCGAGGCTGAGTGAGCATCTGTGATGACTGTCCAGAGATTCGAGCAATCATAGAGTACGTTTGACTGTATTAGAATGAATTTTATTTCCAGTCATTGAAATTGTCACGCCTTTATCTAATTCCCTCGTGGCATGATAGAAGATATACGCATAATGATAAATAGCGCTTGCGTGATCTCTTGGCAGAGTACCATCTTTGACAAACTTTTGCTTGGGTGCAGCGGCTGTTGCTAAAAATAGGTGGTGTAAATAGTGAGTAAGTAGCGATAATTACCCCGATTCTGAACAATATAAGTAGAGCCAATTCCAAACTGTCCTTAGTATAGGTGAGTCAGTCAAGTGTGGATGAACAAAATAACTTAGCTTTACGACACGGAATAGTTGATCACCCAACCAATATTCCTCCTCGGCAGACAAGAAATGCCAGCCACTTTTGATTTGGATGCAGATGATCTGCTTAAGCCGCATATAGGCCACCGTGAGCCTCTGAAGCCAAGCGGAGCTCTGGATAATTTCGAATATTTTGAAGTCACGCCCGTGATCGGACGAGAATTTGTCAATGTTGACTTGGTAGAACTGCTCCAGGCTCCCAATTCGGATGAGCTCATTCGAGAACTTGCTATTACTAGTATGTGTGCTTTGAATCGTGCAAGAGAAAACTCCTTTCAGTACTGACGTCTTCGGTCAAGTCTCTCGACGTGGCGTGGTTTTCTTCCGCAAGCAGGACAACCTGACCGAAGAGCTACAGAAAGAGCTAACACAGAGACTTGGTGAGCAGAGTGGCAAACCGACAACCTCACAGCTACACATCCACCCAATCAATAATGCAGCGCGCGAGCACGGCAGCAACGACAATGAAATCAGCGTTGTATCGTCCAAGCAGGCCAAACAGCTGTTTCAAGGGCGATACGTCGGACCTAGGCATCAAAGCCTCAGGAATGAGTGGCACTCGGACATTACCTTTGAACCTATTCCAAGTGATTATGCATTGCTGCGAGTAACGCAACTGCCTGAGACTGGTGGAGGTAAGTTCTATGATAACCAGAAGCAACTTTGAAGTACCGAGTTCTCTCAGAAGTCTAGTCTGACCGCACGCAGACACTCTTTGGGCTTCAGGATATGAGGTCTACGATCGGATTTCGCGACCCCTACAGCGCTTTCTGGAGACACTAACAGCCAAATATGCTCAGCCTATGTTCACCAACGCTGCCAAGGACAACAACTTCAACATATACAGTGCAGAACGTGGCGCACCAGAGAACAAAGGCGATACGCTTGAGGCAGTCCACCCTGTTATCCGCACGAACCCGGTCACAGGTTGGAAGTCTGTCTTCGCAGTTGGCCAGCACGCTCAGAGCATTCATGGGCTCAGTGAAGCCGAGAGCCAACACTTCCTCAACTGGTTCACTAGTCTTATCATGGAGAACCATGACTTGCAGGTCCGATTCAAGTGGAAAGACATCAACGACGTGGCAATCTGGGATAATAGAAGCACATACCATGCAGCAACGCCGGATTATATCTACGAGAAAGAACTCGGAGAAAGATACGGTAGTCGCGCAGTTAGTGTTGGAGAGAAGCCGTACTTGGATCCACAGAGCACGGGAAGAAGGCAGGCATTATATGCAGAGAACCACCAAGCGGCCACGGCATCGTAGATACTTGTAGAGGTTCCGGGAGCTTCTGCTCGTCGGATAAATAGTAATTACAATTGGACAAAGTTCACAAGTGTGTTAAGGTACTGTCTATATTATTGCCTTGTAGGACTGACTTGAATAACTCATCGATTTCCGTAATCGGGTTAGTTTGAGCGAGGGAGATTCAAGTTTGAAGACTGCTGGTAGCAACAGTGTCAGGTTATTCCGTCTTCAATTAAGTACGTGCTGAAAAATAGGTTTGCACTATATCCTCTTCATAGTAGAATGTGTTAGGCCGCCGCAGATCACGATAAAGTGCTAAATAAATGCATATTGCCAGTACTTTTCTTGTCAATGATAGAATCTCGTGGTATATTCGTTGTGTGATGTGTGTGTGTGGGCTACCTATAAGGATGGACAGAAATAACACAAGCCAGATAACTCATTCACTACCCATTACACAGACTTTGTAAACCTTGCCTTATGTCAAATCATCTAATCGTACTTGCAACGAGTTGCTGCAGCCACCGTAGCAAAAGGTGTTATTGATGAGTGTTGCGTCTCTCTATTTCTTCTCCTGCGGCGGAGCGGCACCTCCAGTTGTGGGCAGGCCCATGAAGATCTTGAAGTAGTCCTAAAGGAGAAATATTAGTATCTCTGAAATGAGACATGAGGAGGTTAGTACTCACATAGATCATCCACTGCAGACCAGTCAATGTTCCAATCATGACGATTCTGACAGGGAGACCGTTCCACAGCCCGCCGAAACCGATATCCTTGTATATTCTCGAAACCACAGCGCCAAATGCCTCGCCGGGCTCGCGGTATGCATTCAACTTGCTGACCATGACATCGGCAGGGTGGGAAACGATGGCGCACAGAATTCCAGCCAGATAACCACCGGTGAAGGACACACCGGTCTGCGCGGCCTTGCTGTAGTCACTCTTCTGGCCTGGCAGGCGTTCGTAGATCATCTCGACAATGGTCTCGAACGAGGCGAACTTCATCATGGTGTAGGGGATCTGGCGACCCCACAGAGGGTAGATGCCCTTGTACAGACCGCTCCAGCCTTCCTTGGCCGTGATCTTGCTGATGCCGTCTAGAGTGCCCGTGTACGGCGAGGGGATCGAGCCCTGCATGCGGACCTTCACGGCCTCGAAGGGGCAGAGGGCAATGTCGGCGAGGAACTCGGCGGAGGCAGACGCGGCGAGATAGATGCCGGTCTTGTACTTGTACGCATTCTCGGCACCTGCGAAGTCGGAGTATGTCTTCTTGAAGTACTCATACCATCCGTATTTGAAGGCACCCTGGGCAGAGTAACCGAAGAAAGTCGGGCTCCAGCCGGTGAAGATGCCACGGAGACCATTAGTACGGTAGATCATTCCCCATGCCTGGAAGTTGCCCTTGTAGAGCTTCGAGTCAACTTGACGCCGGGTCTTGACCAGATCCAGAGGAGTGACAGCGGTATGTGTGAGACCCTATTGAAGTCAGCGGCAATGCGGAGATCTAGTACTCAAGGAAGAAGACATACACAGGCCATCAATCCACCAAAGGTGCAAGCCGCGTAGTATTTGCCAGAATACAGCTCGATCTTGCCGGCCTTTGACTGGGCTGCGGCGCTGGCCTTCTCGAATTCCTTGGTCGCCTCTGCCCCCAGCTTGTTTGTCTTGCTCTTAGCATCGTCGACAACGGACCAAGCTCCATAGAGCTCTGGGCGGGCCTGGTACGGTGTGCTTCTTGCCTTTACGCCATGCTGAGACTGGCCCAAAGCAGCCGGGCTGGCGAAGGTCTTCTGGAGGGCGTCTTGCCTAGGATATAGGTAGGACATGGCGGCGGTCTCAATTACCAACCTGATGAGCAATTAGCTGCTGCTCATCCTAGATAGGCCCGGGGATCCTGGAAATGTCAGGCATAGGCAGGTTTATATCCAACTGGAAGCATCGCCAATGCAAGCTTGGATGACCACCGACGGCTGCCATCTAATCGGATCGCCGGAGTACCAATAGGCTCCCGGCGCGAAGATTGACTAGAGGAAGGCGGATCCTTACCTGTATTCAGAATTACATCTAAGACCTCGACACGGGCCGAGATCACGACGCGAATTGGGATGGAGAGTAGATGAAACTTTGATGCCAAACGGGGGCCGAGACAATCAGTGACGTTGAAAGAGGATGAGGTTGGGACAGCCGGAGATAAGAGCTACCTCCCAATGAGGAGGTGGGAGGAACCGGGTGTGCTGTGTGCCGTTCCATTCCAGGTTGTGCACCACCCTCCATCACGGTTACAGCTATCTCAATTGGGCCAGTCAGACATCGAGACGACCTCCCATCTCCTGCAGCGTAGTGTTGCGCTGTGCTGGTAAACTCTCAGTAATGACGTCTGCGGGGTGGGCACTTCACCGGGGCCCATCAAGGTGAGCGATAAACTAACTACCTAAAGTGTCTAGCTAGATACAAGCTATGTATCTTCATACTCTCTAACTTATGCCACAACGTGGATGTTTGTATTTCAACGTAATTCGATCACAGTCAAAGAATTCACAGGCTTCATCCCCATGCCATAATACAGTAGACTCTGGTTGTTGTACCGATGTAAAATAATAAAGAAATGTTGCTCACTCATCACCGATCGGTTCACAACGGTCCTTTTGTGGGAGGGAACGAGGAGGATGATGCTAACCAGACTTCCTGCCCCACTAGCATGTGATTCGTCCAAAGTTCAATGCACCTCTTCCGTCACCTTTCCAACCCTTTTCAACATTGTCGAGTGTATGATCATTCTCGACCAAGACACAGTCAGACATGGCAGGCGTGATGGCTTCAAATTCGCAAGATCCCTTAAACCCTCTGGCCAAGCCATTTGTGTCCAAATGGACTTCTCGGTATCGCGGGGTAAGCAGGAGTCATCCTTTCCACCACCCTCAATCCCACCACTCCAAGACTTGACTTGGGGAAAAGGAGATCTCGCCCACAGTGAACAGGCAATACTAACTAGATATCTTCCGATCCCAGGCCGCAGTTGAGGACCTCAATCCCCCAGCAGCACTGTCCCTCACGCCCTCCGACCCCGTCCACCTCGCGCTGCTCAACGCCTTCGAGCGCGACTACACCCACCTGACCATCGTCGACTCCGACACCCGCGCGCTGCTGGGCTACATCGCCATCCCGCAGCTCCAGTCAATGCTCGACAGCGGCAAGGTCAGGCCTGACGACGAGATCCGCAACGCCATGACCCGCTTCCAGCGCAAGGGCAAGAAGTACGAGGTCATCACCATGGACACACCCCTCGAGAAGCTGGAGGAGTTCTTCGAGGGCGGCGCCACCGGCGGCCAGAAGCAGGAGTTTGCCGTCATCACGGACGACCAAAGGCGCTTCGTCCTCGGCGTTGCTACCGTGCAGGATCTCGAGGAGTTTGTGAAGAGGCGGCCGGCTTAGGGGGAATGTTTTGATGTGGCTGATCGTGTTGCCCGTGAGTCAAGGATTGGGGCAGTATTAAGATACCCTATACGAGATGGGAAGTGAGTCAGGACGGCGAATGCATATATCATCTATAGGCGTTCGTGGAAATATCGTTTTTAAAAGACAATGACAAGCTGGGGTCTTTCAACAGGACCATATCAGTCCACTACACTGGCAGGGAGTTCTACCTTCTTCAAAATAATATCGTCCTATTAAGATGATATCAAACAGTGATCTAGAGGAATGCCTTCACAGAAAAGTCGTACAATCCGAGCATTAATGGGACAAGCTTCGATTCTAAGAGAATCAAACGGCTCATGAATTTATTCTACTTCATTA